GCTTCGATGATTTTTTAACGTTTCTTCGTCTCTGTTTTTCTTTCCAGCTTTTCGATCATCGGTCACTCGAGTGCTCACTTATTACATTATGGCGGGGGATGAACAAAATTCATATTTAAATACAAAGAAAAATTTAACAACAGCAAATGAAAATTATTGTTTGTGATAGAAACAGTTATATTCTAAAAATAATATATTTTATTATGTGATTTTCTTATGTTTATTCATTTTTTTTTTTTTGACGCCATACAAATTGCGATAATTCATTATCGGAAGACTCGCTTTGTCAATGTTCGAAATATTAATTAAATAATATTAGTTTACGAGAACGATTATAAATAATAATATTTAACTATTTTACGAATAATTTCGATACGAATGAAATAATGTTTAACAAACGAAAGAACCGAATGAAAATTGTTGATATACTATAACGAGAAGATTAATTGACTAGCACATGAGGAATATACACCGTGAATAAATATGAAGGATTTAGTATAAAAAAAAAACAGAAAGGAACAAATACACGCTACTTAAATCGATTAAAGAAACATGTTCCTGGATTAAAGTAAACGGGAGACGCATAGTATACTCAAGAATTTTTGATATTACATTAAAATGATGACTTAAACTTCCTCTAAATTCATTTGGACTACATAGTATTCCAATGTTATCAAAACCTCTAACATCGAAATAAAAAAAAATAATAGTTTGGTCGTGAAATGATTCAATGGTGATTCAGTAATACGGTAATATTTTTCTTGCTTAATTTACACGATACATTTGCCCAATAAACGTTTTTACTAAATCTATGTATACTCTTGTATAGAATTTTATACTCCACCTTGGTAACGCACACAACTAAGAAATATCCATAAACAATGTCATCTTTTGTCATGCATTTAATTTAGACTTTCCAACAAATAATCTACCGAACGAAAAACAAGGAAATACAGTCCACAGACGGAGTGGAAAAATTTGCTTCTTACTTTATGATAATTGAACAGGACAGATCCGTTCAATTCCCGAGACTAACTTGTGTAAGATACTGGAGCAGAGCCAGTTCCGAGTACATTAGCAGCCATATGCAAATATACTTACCGTTACATACGTCGTAACTTTAAGCACACCCACGCCGTGCTTAGAAAACTTAGTACCTGAAGCCGGTCTTGCAGCTGAACCCGTCATACCTGGAACATACAATGCAAAACTTGTAGAAACCCATAGAAACAACTTCGGGTCAATGGACTTGGCGCAAAGAGCGCGAGGAACCATAGAATTCGATGCTAGTGGCATCCCATTCGACAGATCTCACGAACGGAATAATATCTACAAAATAAGTAAAAAGTATCCTATGAGCAAATCTCGTATATACCTTGGCTTTTGAGTTATGAACATTATTATGTTCTAAACATATATAAGTTTGCAATCAAAGCACCGAGCTTTCAATTAATGTGTGGGAATTGTGGGAGATTGTCTTTCAGGAGCATACTTCCTTTCAGCTTAACTAAGAGGGACTATTGATCTTGATTTTAGTTTACAGGGTGACTCTTGAGTAGTAGTACAAATAAGGACAATTCTATGGTTTGGAAATGAAGAATGACAGTGTGCATTGGAGGCTTTGTTTTGGATAATTTAACTCAAACCATAGACGCCTACCGTAATTGTCTTTCTATAGGATACAATATCAGTTCTTTGTCAACAATTGCCTCTACCTCAAATGGTAGTCAAGAATTGCAAACGTATACAACGAATGTAATTAGTGATACTAATTCTGAATCCGTAGGAATACCTTCAGAATCTGAAATTCTTCGTTAAGAACTTGTGGCGTCGCCTCCCATGCTCGCCACCAGAGGGGTCGCGCTCTCACAAGCGCTCGACCTCTCAGTTGCTATGTATACATTTCTCAAACGACTTCTCAATATCCTCTAAGTCGTTTAGAGTACTTCTAAGCCATTTAGAGCCTCTTAAAACCTCTAATATACCACAAATTTTTGATCGTCCGGAAGTCCCAGAAGCTCGAATGCTCCGAGATTAATGAAGCTCGAAGAATTTAATCTATTTTGCAGCAGTTCGTATCTGATCTTGGAATTGCTGTTATCTGTATCAGATCTCTCATTTATCGGGCTTTATGAGCCAAGAGTCGTCTGTATCAACTCCCACGGCACCGAGATCGGCAGTATAGATTTCTACGACTAGAGTAGGGCGATCAGACGATCTTTCAGAATTTGCCCATATTTTTGGTTCGACGTCCCGATATCCCTAAAATAATTTCATAATTATTAACCTGCATTTACAATCTTAATGGCTCCGTGACGTAATATTAAGAGTAATAGATCTCATCTCGATGATTACAGGGTGTTCAGCCACCCCTGAGAAAAATTTGAATGAGAGATTCTAGAGGCGAAAATAAGACGGGCATCAAGAATACCCAATTTGTCGATTGAGGCCTCGTTAAAACGTTATTAACGTTTTTAGGCAAGAAATTTCGGTGAACCATTTCTAACCTCACATTATATTTTCGGAAAAGAATTTTTTTATCGAATGTGCGTAAGATTTCGGGGGTACGTCTATCGACCAAAAATGATTGTAATCGACCCCCGCAACCGAAAATAATTTTTCCCAGAATGATTTGAAATTTTTTAATTTAATTTTTTAATAACTTTTTAAGGAAGCCTCGATCAAGAAATTGATATCCTTCGTGTTACTGAGGTCAAATGGATGAAAAAAGTTCATACGAACTTATGCCCGATAATGCTTTATTAAAATGATATAAGCGTTCATTTACTATTATTTCCAATACATGGAATATTTAAAAAAGTTCGACAATCGCTAATTCGACGAATGGAAGCGTGCATTCAATACAGCATTTTCGGACGTAAGTTTATATAAACTTGTTTTATCTATTTGACCTCATTATCACGCAATTTAAATTTGATCCTAACCTTTTTATACACCCTGTATGTACAATTGTTAAATACGACTATTTTATGTATAATCTTGCAGTTAAGTGTAACCCTTAAAACAAGCGACATAAGTGATCTTAAATTTGTGTACTCTTTGATGATTAACTCTAACCTAATGCCTGTAATATTATCTTCAATTCTAAGTTCCATACAGTTAATATAAACTCGCTCATTACGTATACTTAGCACAAAGAAACGTCTGTACGCGTGTGCATTATGTTTACCACGACCTGTGTCTTTTTCCAACTTGCGTCAGCTGTTTGAAGTTAATTAGTACGCAAGTTCGGGTTATGGCTGTATTTCTACATTGCAAGGCTAAAAGCCGTATTGAAAGGATTAAGACATTCCAACGTTTCGTCAGCATTGAGGCTAGCTTCGTCAGGGGCCGAAATAAACTGATGAAACTAACTGCGATGCCAACAAAACGTCGGCATGTCGTTCGTAAGGACACGTTTCGTGCCCGGAAGCCCCGAACAGTATCATCCGCATTGACAGGTTTGACAGAGTTACTCTCGAGACCGCGAAGCGGGAAGACAATGTCTGCAATTGCTAGACAACTAATATATTCGTAACAGTTCACGTTTCCGTAATGTCACGTTGCGGCGGTGACAGTATAATCGTTCCGCTGGGTATCGCAATTATTTTGATCGGTGTATTTCCTGCGGGAGAACGGCAACGTGAACGACGGTACCCGCAAAAGGTGCATATTTAGCATACAGAAACAATAAATATAAGCTACGGGAGGATTAGTAAATGTTGTGTAACCATCCGGTTAGACAATGCATTGCTAATAAAGTTGCAGTATGTATACCTTTCACAATGCACCACGGAGACCATGACTGCGCGAACTGTCAAAAAAAACCTTGGCCAATCGAAATCTCGATACGACGCAAGTTCGAGACGTCTTCTCGAAAACGACCACGCGATAATCAAATCATTCATCTATTTCGATACCGACGTTACCGTGTTCAGGATCATACGTACTCGTTGATAATCGACTTACACGAATCGAACAAACGGCTCGACCTATCTCCTATGCTGCTATCTTGATCGATCGTTCTCCCTGACGTAAATTCCAACATTTACTCACCTTCGGTGTACTATTTATAAAAAGAAAAGCACGCATTCGGAATGTTTATTTCAAGCGGCGGATTATGCGCGAATCGTGGCATCGCGGTTAATTATCTCGATTAAAAATCGAGAACGATTTAAAAATATTACAATTTCTTCGAACCAAAACATTGAAACAAACGTTGCCGAGACACAGAGCGTGAAAAAAATTAGCAATTCAAAGAAAGGGGAAGAATAACTCGCAAACGGGTGAATTTAAAAATGTAGACTTACGATTAACAAAACGCTACTTTCGAAAGTCTTTTGCAAGAATTTTGTTATCTTTCTCCTTATCTCTTCTACAGAAAACATTTTCTATCGACACATTTGCAATAACGTTCCGAGGAACTATTATGATCACACATTAACTGTATAAAGGTTCTCATTCATAAGTCATAATTCCAAATGTGTTAAACATCGACGATACATGTATATCAACATATATCATGTTCGGATCGATCGATTTAAAGTGTTTCATAATTACGTAACACGAATTACGATAACGAAACCGATATAATTGCGCACGTTCAATTTCTCAATACGACACACTATGCAAACTTCTGTATTTACTTTGTTAACGAAACTCTTCGTTTGCGGGATAGTTAATCAATTTTATCTTTCTAAAGGCTCGTCGCGCGGCATTATATCTCTACAATACTTGAGATTTCTACTTTCAATATGCTCGATCATAGTATTGGAATCTCGTTAAATCTTTAAATCAACGAACCTCTTTTTTCTTTTTTTTTTTATCGAAGTCATTACCGTAAATTTGTGACGTTGTTCGTTCTCTTTCAATCGCAGCACATGATATTTCTAGATTGTTAATCAGTTAAACTTGTTATCGAGTAGTATCTAGTAGTAACCAGACTTCTATAAATAAAGAGATTAGAGAGGGAACAAAAGCTGGAAATAAAGTGTACCGAATTTATATATGTCATTACATGTATTCATTCGTTAATAATAATTAATTAACAATAATAATAGCCGATATATAATACAATAAGAGTAATAATTAATAAGAAACTAATTATCTTTCCTTCCCGTGACAGCTGCCTCAATGCCCTAAAGTTCCTAGCGGTCTTACAGAGTTCGTGTTTTTTTAGTATTTGAAATGAAAAAAAAAAAATCAAGAAAATAGAAACGTTTGTGCTTATCGTTATACATAAATTGGACACGTACGTCACCCTCAATGTTATCGATTACATCTTTTCCTCCTTCTTTTTTAACTTTTTTTTTCTTCATTTTTTTAACCATTAGATAAATTACAATAATCATTTAAATAGTTCGTAGATATCTATATATATATATATATGTGTATGTATGTATATATATATATAAATGACACAACATTTAAGCCCTTCCACAAAACAACTACTTTCTTTTGTATCATATAAATCATGTAAGTATTTGTGTTTTACAAATGTATTAGAAAACCACACAAAATTGTTACCATAAGCATAGACGTGAAATTGTTCATAAAAACACTCCTCACACATTGCAATGACTTTTTAGAGCTAAATCTTCCACTAACTAATTCATACTTATATGATTTATACAAATAAAAAACATGGCTTCAATGTCTATATTAAACGTGCAAATCGTAAATACTTATGAAAGAATTAGGTAAACATTTTTTCTAAATATCATGAAAGCTTATATAGAATATATAAGAAACTACGTTTCTAGAGAAATATAATGAATATTCCTGTGCAAATATCTCAGCGAATCATGCAGCATAATAACATCTATGATATTTTACGGTTATTTTTCAACAACAATCTGAAAACATGATTTACTTGTGCATTATTATAATTTATGCATATTATCTCTCTCAATAGATATCACTCAGAAGTAATATAACTGTAGTATACCTATATCATTTCAAAATGGCAATAATTTGCACGTTCTCAATTTTTAATGAAAGCGAAAAGTATAAGCACTCCATTTTCTTAATAATAACGCTAAATGTTAGTAATACTTATGTTGAACTTGAAAAAAAAAAACGAAAGATCAAAAATACACTCGACAGTATTTTTTTCGCTTTCAAGCTAACAAAATATTTAGAAGTAATAAAAATATTAAATATTAAATATTAAGAAGTATATAATCACAAAATTATCAACTTCAAGAAAGTGTCTAATATAAAATTATGTCATGATCATGTATTTAAAATAAGGATATGATCTTTCACGGAAATATCGAGGACCGATTTTTAGTACGTTTGCCATATTTGTGATGTATCTAAGTTAATTTAGAGGATCAACCTCAACGTAATCGTAAATGAATGATGATGGTGTATTAGTATCAACCAAGATATCGGTCGACGTCAATTCAATGTTTGGGTTACGCCATACATTGATATCAGTTCCCCCAATATCCAGACCAAGTCGTAAATTAGCTGGTGTATTACCAATAACAAAATGCTCTTCAGTTAGAGGCAAAGCACCTTTTAAAAGAAGCCTGTAAAATATATTACATAGACGGGTAAAAAATGTTTTGCATTGCCTTAACGAAATAAATACTGCAATCAAGATACATCGACCCCTTCCCGTACTTTAACGAGCCTGACTCATGATGAAGATTTTGGCCCAAATATATGAATATCATGAGCGTCGAAGCAATGTGCGTTTCTATGTTCTTCCTTGTCTCGCAATTGAAAACAACAAAGACAGACAAGATCGGCGTTCCTATGTTTTTTCAATTGTAAAACAAGGGAGCCAGGCTCGCGGACAGCAAATGACGATCGTGATTGAGTTTGAAGTTCCTATCCGTACGCCACAAAAGTTGATCACGATTTTTCTAATCTCTGTTACAAAGCAGTAGCATCAGTCGGGTCTGTTTATCGCGCGTTTAGGCCCGGATTTCGTCGAGCTAAACGGCACGGGAAGGGGTCAACTAACTGTTATTTACGATACAGTAATTTGTTAAAGTATTAAATAGCAGCCTACCAAATGTTTTCGTCAGCAACGATGTGAACCTTTGGTACAGGAAATCCGTTAAATGGAGACGCTACTGGTAATGTATATGCTCCCATGTTTTCAAAAATTATCCAATCACCAAGATCCATTTCATGCAGTAAAACATTTTCCACCACTTGATCCAGACCATCACAAGTTGGTCCCCAAATACTTGAAGGAATCATCTTTCCGTAACCTTTCTGTTAATGCCAAGATTTTTATTATTAGACATGAATCTATCCGCAATGAAAGTCGATGGACAATTTGATACTTAGAAATTTGTTAAATAAATGTCCATAACAATTCGTTATATTATTACGTAAGAAAATTTTCGAAGTTATTTTAACGTGTAATATAATACACCTTATACATCACTTTCTATCAATGATAATTAGTGATAAGTTCCCAATTCACAATGTAGACAAAAAAGTTTTTCAGCATTGCTTACCTTTAGAGGTATAGGGGTAACATGCTGATGATCATAAAGTAAACAGTTGAAGGAGCCATAAACGCCATCATTGATGTAATACATATTGTGCGTAATTGTATTTGGTAAATGTTCGTTGCTACGCACTGAACGTTTGCTGTGAATGCTAGTTGCAAGTGTAAATGCAGATGCAACATAAAATCGACCAGGTTCAGCAATTATGTGAACAGCATCAGCTAGAAAATCATTATCGTAAGTGCACGAAGGTATAAACACATAACAGAGTAGCCATACACAAACAACTACAATGATTACTTACTGTTGAAATATTCATCAAGTGCTTTATTAATAACATCGGCAATTTTGTCAATGCTTGTGCCTTTATTTCCGGGATAGCCACCGCCGATATCCAACAGATATGGTTTGAAACCAAGATCCATTGCTAAGTCGAATAATGTTTTAGCATAAAGTATAGCACGATGAAATACAGGTGGGTCCTGACAGCCAGATCCAACATGGAAACTAATACCAACAACATTAAGTCCTAACATGCGTGAAAGGCGCAAAAGGTTGGGTGCTTCGTATATAGGATCACAACCAAATTTCATGCCCAATTGACACTGAGCTACTTCTGCATCACAACGCATTCGAATAACAATCTGAAATAAAAATATTATGAAACAAGTTCGAAATACAGACATATGCAAAACCATTTTAAAAGTTAATAAATAGAACAGAAATGTCTTATTACTTTTACACCTGGATGCAGCTTTTTAATTTTATATAACTCGCTTTCATTGTCCACTGTCATTGTATCTACACCAACAGCAGCAGCATGACGAATATGGGATGCTGGTTTAGCTGGATTCGCGAAAATGATTTTAGATGAGTCTACTCCAACACTTAATACTTTGTTAATTTCCGTCTATAAATAAGAGTAATAACGAGTTTTACTTGAATAGTCTACCTTAGATATCCATTACTCAGCATCAATAACATAGTATCAAATTACACTTACTTTTGATGCGCAATCAAAACCAATACCAAGAGCTGCTAACACCTCGATTACAATTAAATTATCATTACACTTCACAGCTGGAATTTAAGAAAAAGAGTAATTAATTTTTAATTCGAAAGTAAATGCAACACATAGTAATATTTAACTATCCTACCATAATATGGATCTACGCGTGGCAATTTTTCTTTCCAAATTTGATGTTTACGGACAATGTCACCAATATCAAGTACATAAAAAGCTTCTTCCTGTAATCCGCTCAATGCAATATCTTTGATGACGCTCATGACGTTTGACGCACTGTCCAAGACGTGGACACGTTCATCCAAATTTGTGACCTTCATGTTGATTATTTTGAATTTCTAAAGGGTACTCTGTAGGCACTAGGCAGCAAACTAAAACATAAACGTTATTAAGTTACATAATACTAAAATATAGTCTGGTAGCTTGATTTATAAAACACGACTACATACGAGGCAGCTGTCAATGAGAATCGTGTGTGTCGTGAGGAGGTGGGTTAAGACGAGATCACTATGGGGGTGCTAGCAAAGCCACGGGGGCTCTGCATTCAGGGCCAACTTCCAGTTGCCGCAGTTATTCACGCACCCACCAATAGACTGGTCTACCAGCCTATCGCAGATAGAACCCTGCAGTGAAAAAAATTTTCTTTTAGTGCCATTACTTTTGGCACTGTCGCTAAATATTTCTCAAGTAAAATGTATTAGTTATAAGTAATGAATAAAAAATAATTGGGATGAATTCAATGAATTAGAAATTAATTTATTATTACATAGATAGTCACAAATATGAATCATAAAATCATCTGCCTCCTTCTAAATATAAAATGATGTAAAATGTATGTCAGTTGCAACCAGCTGTAGATTTAAATATGATATAAAGTAGCAATCAAGTGTAGATTAAAAAATAACATAAAATTACAATAACTGAGTGATATTATACATATTAAAAGAATGATTTTCATATTAAAACTTTGCTGAAGTATGTACGATTCATTTTCAATAAATCAATATATTCAGTGATACATGCTCAAGGATTTTGCTGTATTCCCAAATTTAATTTATCTTATCATATTTTATCAGTATAAATTATATATATATATTTCTTGTCAGACATAAGAAGATACCAGTCCAAACCTTGTGCAAAAGAGATGTAGACATAAATTCTACATAATTTTTTATTAAAATTCAATGTAACTAACATTAGGTTAGTGAAATAATTATAAATTAATATAAAATCAAATGCTGAGCTTACTCCCCTTAAAAAAAAACGTTTTTAAAACTCACCTGATTTTTAAAAGTAATTCTCGTAGCTTTTATGACACGTATATATTAATAAAATAGTTGTTACAAGTTCAGGTACGTACGAATCCTTGTTAGACAACTATCTTTATAATAATTTAAAAGGGACAATAACAAAGTAAAAATAAGAAGAAATTACTAAGATGTAACACTGTTTTGTAATAAATGAAATATTGTTCAATGAAGAGTTGTGAACTACCAAGAGCACAGGACAATACTGAACCTGAAGTAACTATTTGGGCCACTATTTATACGAGAAAGATAAGTATTATCAGGCAGCCTTTGCGTGGTACCAAGTCTACTTCATGGAACAAAGCTTATCTGACGGCCAAGAAATACATGGTTCACAGAGAACCAATTGGACATGGAGGGGTAATGCACACGCCACTCAGAGATCAAGTCTTCATTGGGGGCATGGAAATACCACATTTAATCTATACTACGCTGTTGGAAATCCTTGATTACGATCATTAGTCAAAATCATTTGACTGACGTCTGATAACATCTGTGTAATATATTCACAGCTAAAATACAGGTGTGCATTACACGCATCATTTTTAAATACATCACTTACTATCAATCATAATGCTTTAGAAGAAAAATTATGAACATATATGAAATATTATAAAATTTCAAATGAATATTGCATTGATGTACAAATACTTAATTGGATAGTGTCCAAAAATAATATTTTAAAGTAAAATATATTCTATTTTTCTAAATATACCTCATATATACATAAAATATACATTGCAATTAGGTTACAAGAGATCTAAAGAATGTTTCCACTCAAACTGATTAAATGGTTAAAAATAATGCTACAATTTGTTCATTTGAGAAGATATTATTTTCAAAATTAAAAATTGAGAAAAATCTGATATAACTTCGAATATTCATGCATTTTTATTAAAGTTATTTTAATAAGTGTTTGTCTAACATTGAAATTATATTATTATTTCTGTTATTATTGTTAAAAGTATGAAAATTAATATAAACATATTTAACGCATTAACATTCATACTGCCAGTGCTTGAGGAATAAATTTTTAGCTTATACATAAAAATTTGAGAAAAATTCTCATGATTCATTACGATTTTACTGGTTTGTACAGGAAATATCAGACGGAGTTAGGTACTAGCAACTTTAAGATAACACAGCATTGAAATACAAACTGCACTACAAACATGATGTTGCCAAGATGGTACAATGTTTGCAAATACTATTATGGTAACATGTATTGTACTAAATGTATAATTTCAATCCGGATCGATTTACGTTCTATACGACAGACAAAATGTATTAATGAAATCGAAGAATACACCAGATCATAAAACGAGGTCTACATTGCGATTGCATATGTTGAGGAAATGTGCAGGAAAATGGTGAAAATCATGATTCATCGGTTCGGAGAAAATAATCGTTTCGCTATACACCATTTAACGACAAGGAGCCTAATTACAGTAAGGACATCGTAAATGATACATATTTTCACGTGACAGACATACTCTAACGACATGGCTAAACCGTGTGCAGATAATGTCGAATATAGATTTTTATACGGACCTTATCAAATGATCGCCACCCTGCGGGTCGGCACTCGATTTTTGACGGAATGATGGAAGTTTTCGGTGACTGGATCTCAAAAATCAGTCAAATCGGTCGATGAAGGTTGAAGCTTCGTTCGTATGGCGACCAGTGCCTGTCGAAATCTCTCGTAACCGATTCTTCGTTAAAGGTATCGAGAAAAAACATTCGTTTGCTCGTTCGTAACCACTTAAAAGTTACGAGCGAATTTTTACGCGTCGGTCGGTTAACTCGATACTCGTGATATATTTCGTGAAAGTTCGTAAAATCTAATGATATTCGAAGAACCACCTCCCACGAACACACCACCGAGCAAGAGCTCTCGGAAAGGTTCTCAAATAATTTCAGCACAAAGCGCGTTCGATTTTATAACTCGAACTTCGAGCTTTCAACCTCGATTATCGTGTACCATCGATTACTCGAATTTAAACCACGAACTTGTGCCGAAACTACGCCAAAATACAGTATTCCGTTTTATATCGATACTTTTCAGTCCTTTCTTAGTAATCTTAATAAAAATAGATTTATATGAATAATCGTACGACGTCATAACGGTATACAAAAATTTCAACATAACGATCAGTCAATTCACCGATGTACATTGAGGTATTTTTATTTCGTTGATAACGTATGTATTACGAATTTCGTGTCCTTACAATTTTCGGGATATTTTCAAATTATTTGTATTTATACATACTATGTGTTTAAATTAATCTTGGTAAAAAAAGTTCTTTTATTCAAACTTATCAATTTACATATTTTACATTGTCTTTGATTATTAAAATGTTAAGAATACTATTAATTTAATCGATAAAATAAACATTTGATTAAAATACGATGAAACTAGTAATCAATATATTACAATTTTTCTTCGGCAAAACTTTTAAAAATTTATTTATTTTTGACAAATTTCCATCAAATAATTTTAATAAACCTTGGGCATAAGTAAATAATTAAGATGATACTACATTCTTTGTACCTCGTTCTTATATTTTTCTTTTTATTTAAAGGAACGTGTTTTCCGTAATATGTACGTAAACACCAAGTCGAGTTCGTGATCTGTATTATGAAACAGTTTACAATATTTCTTTATATAAACTAACAAGTATGTCAACTGCGTTATATAGGATTTAAAAGAAATAAATATCACAACTATTCTACACAATAAATATTTAATTTAGAACGATAAAAAGAATTGCGTTTTTACATAAATTTAGTTCTCAAACATTGTTGACAATAGCATTTTCAAATTTTGTATATTCATTTATATATATTTTAAGAAAGCATACATATTTTTTCATAAAGAAATATTGATTTACGGAAAATGCTTTGATGAAAAAAACAATCGCTCCTGGCGTTCCTAATTTTTTAAATTCTATTGAAAAGAAATATTAAAAATTATTCGAATGACCGCACTTTTAAAAAAAAAATAATTAATTTTACAGAAAAGGTGAAATACTTTTCAAATAGATAAAAAGTGATTGATGATATCATGCTGGTTATAGTCCTGGTGATAAAGATATGTTTAATTTGTATGTGTGCCAAATTTTGTAAAGACTGATTTATCAGTATTACAGTTTTAAGTATGCTAGCTGGGAAAAAGCAGTTTTCAGAAAAACAGTGTTAAAAAAGGGCAAGCAATTATATTCATTATAATAATGCTTGCTATTGAGATTCAGTAACTAATTTAATTACATCACGTTTTCATTTTGCATTTTGATTTTTACCTGCACGCAATTACCTTTCAATTTTCATAACTATATCAATTTTTTAAATTTCAAACATTAAGAACATGTTTCTCGGACCTGAAACAGTAAAAAACTAAAAAAATCTGTTTTTTTTTTAAGTTCTCAACCAAAAGTAAGCCTTAAATGACTGCATTAGTATGGTTTATATGGCAATTAATGAAACTTAATACATAATAATACAGTGATACATATTTATTTAATGATAAATGCTGTTGATACAAATGTATTGTATATTTTATTAGCTGTTTAAAACATTAAAAGTAGATTATATTAATATTAACCCAAAGTAATATTTCGCGATAAGTAATAATAATATGACTCAGCTAAAAAACAATTACTATTTCATTTCTCACTACAAGATATAAAATTGAGATAGTAACAAGGAATGCATTTTCCTAATAAGTTTGCATAATAATTATATTACTTTAGATTATTATTACAAAGTAATGTTTAAAACATCAATCTGCTGCGTTTATTTTTGTAACAAATTTAAATAATATTATGTATCGTTAACACTGCATTATATCATTTGCATTGAATTGAAATATTACATTCAATAGACTTGTTAATTATATACAAATCTCAGAGATTTTTATTGCACCTTCAAAGCAGGTGCAATGAAATATCTACTGATAGTCCTAACAATCATTACAGCACTAAAACAAAATTAATTACATTAAAATGGTTAATAATTGTTAATATTAAAGCACCATTAAATTACATAAAACAATACCTCAATATAGTGATTATTCCGGCTGGACTTATTTTACCAGTATTATAAAAACGATAACCCATAACTCCGCAAAGAGTCGAACTTGCTCCTAAAAAGACCCCAACATTTTTTTGATCCACCGATACTTGATAAGCTCCGTAACCCAAAATTGTTCCAAAGAGAAGTCCAGCCCCCAAAGAAGGAATCGAATCTTCAAAAAAAATAATTGACTGATATTTTTTTTCGCCGCAACAATATGTGTTGATCGTTACTCTTGAAAGTAAAGAAATATGAGTATAAAAGTAGACGGTACAAACATTAAATTGGAAACTAATATCTGCCTTATCATTTACGTAAGGAAGAATATGATTATTAAGAAAAATGAGCCTTACGTGACTTAACATAACCAAATACACCGCCGGCCGCTACACTAGCAGCATAAGAAAACGCGAATATATCAAAAGGCATTTTATATTATACAATTATAATTTTTTATTTCACCGCAAAACGTTTTTAACACTTCAACTGCCGACGAACGTTGAATAATAAACAGAATTTATTTATTTTTTGCATATCACAGTTGTAGTCATGGTGTATCCATTTTATAGAGTGGTTCATTATGCCTTGCTTCATTGCAATTGAAACAGTATACGTATACAAGATGACGATACACCAATGAAATACCACATCATTTTATTTCAGTCTTTTGAATTTATCACGTGCTTATCTTCTAAGTATATTCACTGTGAGCGATATTCAAAACTTTCAATTTATTTTAACAAAGGCATAATTATTTTATTACATCTAAATGTTATATATTGTAGATATTTAAAAAAATATTATGAATTCTATTGAATATGTAGACTAAGTTTGTTATTAATCGTATAGATGAAAGACATTTCGTAAACATGAATAAAATGCAACAATATTACAACAGTACAATAAAATTATTTATTTATCATTTACAAGCGACGATGAAACTATTATTTAAGTTATATAAATATAATAAACTTTAGTAATATTATTGTGCGTATATATTATATAATTTACGTTACAAAATGCAATGCAAACCTTAATTCATTCTTCAAAAGTAATTTTAATAATTTATAATTACGCAATATATAAATTTTAAAAAGTTATAATTCACGTAACTGTGTGAGTTGTCTGCAAGTAGATAAATATTTCGTTCATATTTATTGGACGTGGGTATAAATCAAGTAATGTAATAAAAGCAGTATGTACAGAATTTAGAAAAGCGTATGTCTGTATAGATTGCACAAATTTGCAAGTTATGTTTTATGCGATGTTATCATCTTTAAATCGAAAATTGCCTAGTCAGAGAAATCATCTATGATTAAGCTCATCCAGTGATGCCAAAAAAGCACCGTCAGGTGCACACTCACACATGCCAGATACGCGTACGTGAGCTCGTGGAGTTTCGGAAAGACGACAAAGTCAAACTGACGCATGCCCTCTTTCTCGATTCTCCGAAGCTGCCCGAAGTAATTTCGGACCGCTTCGTGGGAGTCGAGAGAGAAAGGCTCACATTTGCCTTCTCGCTCTTAACAACTGAAATCCGACCTCCAGTAAACGGTATACGATTTGGATTCTCGAGCCGAGATTCTCGACTGCCCAGACATTTTTACTTTCCGACCTATGTAGGCGCACATAAGCAAAGTACCCATAATGAAAAAAAAATGTTTGTAAAATTTATTTTACGGAAATACACGTTTTAAGATCTCCCGATCATATTTTAATTATTGAAAAAAAAGAAATTTTTTTTTATTCCCATGTATGAGCACACATATGTATATTATTAATACGATTTTTGAAAATCAAAATACTTTAAGATTGAAAATTAATCAATTAAAATGAGATTCCACTCTTTACCAGTATTGTGCACGCTGTGGTATTTTTCAATAAGAAGAGTTCTTACTTTTATAACATAAACAAAACGGTAGAATTAATAATTGCAGAAATTAATTAATAATGATTTTCCTCGATTGTTTTGAGATAACCGTATCAATTTGTTATGACGAACTAAATAGAACTAACTAGAAACAAAGGAAAAGTGATCCCGTTTGCCAGTTTAATACAAAGTATGGGTTGTATATTAAATTTTAAAAGGACATAGTCGAATATTTTTAAAGGTACAAAACATAGCGTTTTCAATGCGATTTAAGTAAGCATGTAATGTATAAGATTTCATTTAATTTTTTCTTTTCTAGAGAAGATAGAGAAAAAGTTTATATAATTTTTTTTATATGTAAGGCGTCGGGAAAAGGCGAGGCCCAAGCCGAGGCGCTGGCAAGGGACCGCGTCTGGCCTTTGTCCGTCAACACTCCCACCCCTACCGATGGGGGAGAAGTCTGACGACAAAGGCGAGGGTCTAGGCCCAGGACGGGCTCATTTGTTTTTCCGACGCTGAAAGAACGGGAATAAAGCATGTATACGAATACCCTGCGTATTTCTTAATTCCTAATTCCATTCTACGCGTCTGTATAACATATATAAAATTTAATTCGTCCTAAGATTTATATGAAACATTTAAAAGATTTTTTATACATTATGCCTATACATATATCGGAACAACTATGAAACAAGAGGTATAATCATTATTATCCATGGACTGATTATAGTCAAAGTCTAACCGGACTTTGAAATGAGAACATAAAACTTAAATGTAAAGTTTCATTTAAATTCATTCAGCTATTTATACTCAATCGTATTAATAATATACATATGTGTGCTCATACATGGGAATAAAAAAAAATTTCTTTTTTTTCAATAATTAAAATATGATCAGGAGGTCTTAAAACGTGTATTTCCGTAAAATAAATTTTACAAACATTTTTTTTTCATTATGGGTACTTTGCTTATGTGCGCCTACATAGGTCGGAAAGTAAAAATGCCTGGGCAGTCGAGAATCTCGGCTCGAGAATCCAAATCGTATGCCGTTGACTGGAGGTCGGATTTTAGTTGTTAAGAGCGAGAAGGCAAATGTGAGCCTTTCTCTCTCGACTCCCACGAAGCGGTCCGAAATTACTTCGGACAGCTACGGAGAATCGAGAAAGAGGGCATGCGTCAGTTTGCCTTTGTCGTCTTTCCGAAACTCCACGAGCTCACGTACGCGTATCTAGCATGTGTGAGTGTGCACCCGACGGTGCTTTTCTGGCATCACTGATATTATTCGTATAGCTATGATATGTGATATCAGTATTCGTAAGAAGGCCTTCGATTAGTCATCTGTTATATGGTCACTGGTATTCTACAATTTCTATTCTCTACTATGTTGTCACAAAACGTATTAATACAAACTGGAAATATACTTTCCTTGAAGGAGATAAAAACAAAAATAAATCCAACTCCTACAGAAGAGGTCAGCTCATAAATGTTTTTGAAACATAAAATAAATAATATCCGTTATACACTATAGTTACAACTATAATTCTTGAGGTTATGTAATTTTCAACATTGAAAAATCATTTTTATCTACATATATTTAAAATATCTTTGCAGATAATTGAAACGTTAAAGATTGTGCTTCAAGACAATGAAAGCAGTGGTGAGGATCCAGTGGTTGTATGTATGACTAGTTTTTGTTTATTTTTTTTAAACATTTAAACGGTATATCGTCAAGTTCCGAAACTTATTCGTTTTTAGATTAAAGGAAAAGAAGATAATGCTGTGCAAACTATCACCAGGGAGAAAGCCAATATAACTGTGAAGGTATTCATGTCATCACCTAACGTAAATTTATTGACACAGGCTATAGACCAAGGTATCAAAAATCATATTTTTTTATTAATTTTATTACGCACGATTGTACATATATTATTAATGTTATTTTATATGTTTGTAGTCTGTGATGCCTTAAATACAAGTGCAATTGATTCTTTCGTCATTGCTTATAAAGGCAAAGAGGATTCAGAAGAGTTATTAGAATCTTTGAAACAATTGTGGAATGTCGTAGAAAAGTATGTTGCAATTGGAAAATTATCAAGCGTTGGTCTGAGCGATGTTAATACAAATGAATTTATTGCCTTATTTCAATGGGCATATGTAAGATTGCTGTAATATTTATGCTTTTTCCAATTATATCTTTTATATGTTATATTTATATCATATTCCTTCTTATTTATACAGACAAAGCCTAATATTTTACAAATTGGTTTAACTACATGCTGTTCTGTACCGGTTGAGTTACAGAAGTTCACTAGAATAAACGATGTGCGATTGTTGACACACTGTGATTATGGTCGTAAGTTCTCAGGTTATATAAAAGCAAAAAAAAAAAAAAAACAGTTTTAATTATTATAATTTTTAACTTTTAGAGATTCTTCCACAAGAAGAGTTGAATAACCTATTCAATGCCAATGTAAGCTTACATTGGGTTACAAGATACAGCGTTCATCTAAAACGTCGTGGTATTTTATTTTCAAAGGGATATTTAGTGTATATGAATAAAACAAATAATATATGAATTAAATAAAATAATGAATGTCAATAATTGTTATAATACGCTAATGTTCAATGTTTATGTTAATATTTACATTTATAAAATGTCGCAAATTAGTATGTCGTACGCATATGATTAATTATTAAATTATTATTAATTTATACGGTTAGTAAATTTCTGTAATAGTTAATGTTCTCTCTTTACGTATAAAATTGTTTTTATCTACAAACTTGTGGAATTAAACTTGTTATTTGTATAAACGAAGTTATTTTACTCCTACATAATGATCCAAATTTGTCGTTATTCTTGTTACTAATTTCTCGTAGATGTAGGCTGTTAACTGAGAATTATCTTCTTGACATCGTACAATAATACATTCTATAAACGTATTGGAATATGTGAAATCTCGAACGTGCGTATAAATTTTCGCCAGTGGCTAGTGAGTAAAAGTAAACGTAAAACTGCAAAAGCGGCGTGAAGACGTTGAGTAGCGTTGGGCGCACGTGACTCGCGAAACTTTGAAACAGTATAATTTGAATATATTTGTTGACAGTATATGTATTTCATTAAAAAAGACGTGTTTACTTTAGTTCATTATATGGTCTGTTTCTAAAAGGGTAGTAAATTACCAAAAAGAACTAAGTTTTAACCGAACTTATTTATTATACTTGGAATATGGGGTTTGGGATACATACACGCAGTCATATTCATTATCGATATATCGACCTATTTCCTATTTATCGATCCTATCTAACTGTTTTCCCGACAAGAAACATCTATGTATGAAGCTTCATATCGTTTAAATCTTGGAGATAAGAATATAACAAGAAACTAAATCTCATATTTACAAGTGAACATATAACGTACACAACATTTATACATATAGGTTAAAATAAAATTATACGGAAAGTAATTATTCGGAAAAAAACCTTCGATCGTTATGTTTGAAAAAGTGTAGAAAAGATGGAATTTTCTTGACAGCAATGTTTTTAGATGTTTGTTATAAAGTGATTAAAACAAATTCGTAAAATTATAGTGGAAAAGAGTGTCTGTTGAATACACTTGCAAGAATGGTGAACCTACAGCTAAGGGAGAACGAGAATTAATAATACGTATTATGTCCAGTTGAGCTTTCGAGTAACCGCAACAAACAGTAATCAATCTGAATCATCAAAATTTGCAAATGTGATTTTAGCCGTTCTACCTACGCAGGTGAGTATAGAAATATTACTTTCACGATTGAAATTTATTGCCTCCCCCTTCCCCTCTACTATATACATATATATACATATGTATGTTTGAAACAATTATTTTCGGAACCTTTTCAACCTCCGATGGAAGATTCCTGTGAAATAACGATTAATTTCGATTAATAAAGTTTCATCTTAACTATATTATATTAAACTGTTCAAAAAGTAATTGTGTTTTTTTCAATATTTGGCAATGTACCCCTTGCAATGTAACTAACCTCATTTTAAACGGAAAATTCAAAAAATTCTTGATAGGTTATGCTTCAAGCTTGTTTTGGAAGAAGCTGTATACGATTTCGTTAAGAATCGTTTAATTGGCATTGATTTTGACATGGAATATCAAAAAGAATATTTTCGTCGTATTTTAATACTTCCGAAACGGAGAAAAACGCTGTTCAAGTTTATAAAAAGTTATGCAATGTGTAAAAGTCTAGGTATTTGGTGTTGAATATGGGCAATGTTGACGCATACTGTCATTAACAAAATAAATAAAGCTACGGCATCGAAGAGGAGCGTCCAAAATTGGTAAATATAATGTGTTGTTTGTCACATACAAGTTTGTTTACTCGTCAAAAACTGTTACAGCTAAAATCGAATATGTTACCAGATTCACAATATTCACCAGACCTGGTACCATCCGATTATCGTCCACTCCGTTTTTTGCAAAACCCGTGAAGCGGTAAAATCTTCGCCGTCGAAAAAAATCAGAACTTGTTTGAACGCGAAATCACGAAGTGGCACAAGAGACACACAATTACATGTAAAAGGTATTTCATCAATTCATCTTTCATATAAATAGATAAAGAACAGAATTCACCTGGATGATAACTGAAATATTTAGTAATGGATTCGGTATTTGATAGGTAAGAACCTAATAGATTGATCAGTAATCTCGGTATCGGGCAGAGTTCGAAGCCATCGCTAGCGGTAGCTGATCGGGAGTCCGCTAGGCAGCGGGGACACCGAGGAATCCCTTCGTTTTATGTGTGTGTCCCACCGTCGTCGTCGTCGTCGTCGTCGTCGTCGTCGTCGCCGCTGCCGCGGTCGTCGTCGTCGTCGTCGTCGCAGGCCGACTCGATATATGCGGGCCGATTTTTCGTTTTGCCACCGGCTGCCTTCGGATCTTTCCCTTTCCTGCGCGTTCTGTTACTCCGCTCCCGCTCCCGGGGCCCTTTTGCGTTAAGCCGCACCGCGTGGCACACACGGGGGACAACGAAACGATGGGACGGGACTTCGGGGGACTGCAGATAGCGTAAACGCTCCTCTCCGCTCCCTCGGTTCGCTATCTAACTATCTCACTCTCCATCTTTCTCCCGTGGTCACTTCGTTCCTCGTCCATCTCCTTCGCTCTCTTCCTTGCTCCTTTTCCGCAGCACGCACACCTTCCTGCGTTCATCATTCCTCCCTCTGTCTCTTTCCATCCACCTACGGAGTCCACTGTTCTACTTGAACACATTCGACGTCCTCTCCCTTCCTCTTTCTCCTTTTGTCCCTCATCGTTTCTCTTCCAGACTCCGTCTGCCCTCTCTGTTCACCGCTTTTGGGATCAGTCTCTTTTCAATACTTTCCCGTTCCTCCTTCTGGTCACTGCAAAGCGGGCGGGGTATGCGAACGCCGCGATACTATGTTATGCCTCCGGACCGCGGGTCTGACATACTTTGTATGTTAATGCCACATAATGTCGGTTTTGTTCCTCTTTTCAGCATTTATTTGTTCGGCTCCTCGGGGCTTTAGCAGGGGCGCGCACGAACCCATAGTTCGTACCGCGCCTCGATCGCTCTGCTATTTCGCGAACTGACTTTTCTATTGGGTTGTAACGTACGCAATGCCCGTCGGAGGACACCAATTCCACGAAGGAAAGTCTCGTCGGGTCGGATGCGCGTCGAAACTGTCGGCCACATATGCGAGACAAGTTGGCGCGAGTGCCGCGACAGTGTTAGATAAATTTTAAAACGAATATTTAAAGTACACGGTTAAAACACTTTTACAGATTGTTTGCGTTGTTAAGGTAAGAAATAAAAACATTACCATCGACAAATCTTTCACCGCAACACGAATAGAAAACAATGTACATACATATAATGGCTAGGTTGAGATCTGTATACACCAAAATTATTTACAAATATTCATAAAAAGTAATAATATAATAAGTAATAATTTTTGTTGTAGAAGACTACTTGACTATGAAAAGAATATAACGTATATGTGAATTTTATTATGTTTTGCATATAGATATAACAGACGTATCTCACATTTTGAATAATCTAAGGGAACTTTTTGTTTAAGATTCAGTGAAGATATGCTTAAAGAAACGTGCACTATAAAGGATAATCAAGTTTAACCTGATCGTACTTGCTGTATGGTAGCAGCAAAGAAAAAATAATTGCAACATATTAACAGGGTAAAATTTATTTTTGTCAAGGAGCTAGTCGAACTACCCCATCATGCGTCAATGTTTAGGATGAATTACCTGATTAGTATAGAGGTGCTTACATTTTCGTCAACTTCAAATTGTATATTTAAAAAAGTATTTAATGACTGAAAACAGCGATTGGTAAGTTCTCTGATGGCGTTAGACAACTCGAAAAACGAATATGTATTTGAATTCTTATTTACATAACAATTTTGAACGACGAATAAAATATAAACAATCTGTTTTCAGCGAGAACTTTTCTGGATACCTAGTAGTATCGATCAGTTAAGGTTCGTTGTAACGGGAGAGTAAAAATAGAATCGAGTGTGTGTACCTGATTACATCTGTCGTGAATTAAATATGGAGGTGGTTTTCTTGATATCGAATCAAGGATTAATTTGTCTTGATCAATTTTTGGAAATACCGATACTCGAGTCTCGCTATCTTCTTCTCTTGAGGTACATATCTCGCTGACAGGCATGTTTCCACGTGGAATGTCGAGATATTTCTTATTAATTTATTTCCTCGAGTGGAAACGGTAATCTCGACCGACACGTTTTCTACGAGGCGAGGAATCAGCATAGATCGCAGTAGGGTTAATGCAATATTTCCTCGTTACATAATTGTGTAATTTGCGTGAATCGTTACGAGTTTCGACGAAACCTGCAACGTCTCTGATAACGAATCTCATCTCGGGATGATGCAAGTTCCCGAACTTCGGCCGTAAAATAATTATGGCTTGCGTTACCGAGCGTTGCGCGTTCTCGTACGCAGACGTTACCTTGTTCTTACTTAATCAAACGAATCCGAGTAACTGCGGGTAATCAGCCAGCTCGGTGGTGTTTCGAATCAATTCAGAAGCAGAATTACTTAATTACCATAAGAGACGAAATACGATGCATTAATTGCTCGTACGTGCTACCGTACTAATTAAATTAGTGTACAATAAGAATTAACATTGCAACCGAGCACATTCTCTCGAGATGCACGACGCGGGGAACTTTTACTTCGTGTTCGTTTAAACGCGTTTATCTTAACTTTTTATGATACAAGTTTTAATGCATAGGGTACTCGTTTGAAAACTACATCCAAATATCTAAAAAACAACGCGTTTCCAAGAAAAATGTTAGATACAAAACATAAAATTATTCAATTTTCTGGAGAAATTATTATTTAAAAATCTTCCGAAAATCTTGTTGGGCATTTGTAATTTAAATTTGAACGTTTGTTTATCTCTTATGCGTCATTCAAAGTTTTCTATCTAGATAAGAATTTTCCCCGTCACTGCTCGCTCGATCGTATTTACAAATAGCGTCGCTATCGGACTACTGTAAACCCCTGTACTTAAAGCGTTAAACAATTAAAAGAAACACTCGTGTCAGCTTTTGAAGAGTCTATGACG